CAGTTTCCCCAGTTCCTTTATCTCGAACTCTTTTACTAATCTTTGCTTCAATTCATGCTTCTCTCTCATCATTTCCAGTCACTATGATGTCGTCCACATAGACTAGAAGAGCAGTCACTCCCCCAGTAGCCGAATGCTTAATGAAGAGAGTGTGGTCACCTTGGCTTTGTTCATACCCAGACTCCTTCATCACCTTTGCAAATCTCCCAAACCATGCTCTAGGAGATTGCTTTAACCCGTAAAGGGCCTTTCTCAGCTTGCATACTTTGTTACTTGTGTTTCCCTCAAATCCCGGTGGAATATTCATGAAGATTTCTTCATCTAAGTGACCATGAAAAAATGCATTCTTAACATCATACTGTAGTAGCTGCCAATTGTAGTAAGCCGCTAATGATAGTAGAATTCTCACAGTATTCATTTTTGTGACTGGAGGGAAAGTCTCCTGATAATCAACTCCATAAGTCTGAGTGTATCCCTTGGCCACCAATCTTGCTTTATATCTCTCGAGGTATCCATCAGCCTTGTATTTCAGTGTGAAAATCCACTTGCAATCAACAACATTTTTCCCTTCTGGTCTATCAACAATCTCCCATGTTCTATTCTTTTCTAATGCACTCATCTCCTCTCTCATAGCCTCCTTCCATTCCTTTTTTGACAATGCCTCAGAAACAATATTAGGGATAGCAATGGTGTTTAAACTCACAATGAACTTTTTGTGGGTTGGTGACAGACGCTTAAGAGAGACAGTGAGATAGTGGATAGATTGGTTGTTTAGTACATTCTCATAAACCTTTTCTGATAGCAATAGAAAGGTCTAGGTCATCTGTTGGTTCAGTGGATGTTTCAACAGATTGTGTGTGTAAAGGTGGATTAGATCTTACCGTGATTTCATTTCCAGAGTCTTGAGTTAGATTCTTGGACCTGTATCAGTTATGGAGCGGCCTTTCTCCTTGAATACACTTGAGAGAACCTATGAAAATTACGAGTGACACTGGCTGGGACAGGAGATGACACGGGCTCACCACTGGCTGGGACAGGAGATGACACGGGTTCAGTGGCAGAATGGGGTGACTCAGAGTTGGTTGGCTCAGAGGACTCGGGTTCAACAACACGGGCTGGAACATGAGGAAGATCAAGGGTTTTAAGTGGCTCAAATGACTCACAAGGACACTTCCATGATTGGAATCTCCTCCTGAAGAGAGGACTTGGAGAAAAAAGGTGTATTTTTTGTGAAGGTGACATCGGTAGAGATGTGAAATTTTCTAGATGAAAGGTTGTAACACTTGTATCCCTTTTGAGTGGATGAGTATCCAAGAAAAACACATTTGGTGGCTCGGGGATCTAGCTTGCCTCTCTATGTTGGCTGTGGACATGAACAAAGGCAGTGCATACAAATATCCTAGGTGTAAGACCATTTGAGGTTCTGAAGTGAGGGTAGAAACTATTGAGGATCTCTATGGGACTCTTGTTGTCTAACACACGTGAGGGAAGTCTATTTATCATGTATGTGGCAGTAAGAACCGCCTCTCCCCAATAGGACTTAGGAACATTCCCTTGAAAGAGTAAAGCTTGGGTGGTGTTGAGTAAATGCCTATTTTTCCCATCAGCTATCCCATTTTGTTGAGGCGTGTTAACACATGATGAATCATGAATAATGCCTTGTGATTGAAAGTAGGGTGACAAAAACTGATTGAAGTAGTCTCTAGCATTGTCTGTCCTAAAGCTTTTTATTTTAACCCCAAACTGGTTTTGAACCATCGAGTGGAAATTAGGTATAACAATGCTAACATTAGATTTTTGTTTAAGAAGAAAGAGCCATGTAACCCGAGTACAATCATCAATTAAAGATACAAACCAACGAGCCCCTGAAATATTAGGTATAGTAGAAGGACCCCATATGTCACTATGAATAAAATGAAAAGGATGAGAACTTCTTTTATTGCTAAGAGGAAAAGATACACGAGTACGTTTTGCCAGTTCACAAACATCACAATGAAACTCAGAAATATCTAATCCTTGGAACAAATGAGGAAACATGACTTTTAAAACCCTAAAGGATGGATGACCTAGGCGTAGGTGATATAGCCAAATGACATCCTTATTTGAGGAACTGAGAAAAGGCAAAGACAAATTGCTCCTAACTCTCTGAGATGATTCAAGATGGTAAAGGCCGCTTCTTTCCTTATCAAGTCCAATCCTCCTCCCCGAGCCCTGATCCTGGAAAACATAATAGGAAGGGAAAAAAGTAGCATAGCATTTAAGATCATGAGTAAGTTTTTGAATGGAAGCAAGGCTGGCCGACATTTTAGGTACATGGAGGACATTTTTAAGGATAAGAGTAGGTGTGATATGTATATCTCCAGACCCTGCAACAGTGGCTAAAGAACCATTGGCCACAACAATTTTCCTGTTACTCGGGCATGGAGTATAGGTGTGGAAGAGTTGAGATGTGGGGGTCATATGGCCTGTGGCACTTGAGTCTATTATCCAAGAGTTAACATAGAATTTTTCTGAGGCATTCATGCAAAAAGGAAATGAATGTTTACCTAAAAGAGCCAAAGAACAGGTTCCTGAAGGCTTATCAAGCGGCCCCAACAAGCTTCTCAATTTCTCAATTTCTTCCCTGTTGAGCCCCCCGGTTCCTGTTGAATTTTCCTCAGTTTTGGGTTGCTCTACCATGTGTGCTTGAGGCCTCTGCTGACCCCATGGTTTCCCTCACGGTTTCCCCACTCTCGGCTTGGTGGCTTACCATTCAACTTCCAACACGTCTCTTTTTCGTGCCTCGATTTCTTACAATAGGTGCACCAGAGATTGTCCTTGTTCTCCTTACACTGATTTTCTCTACCTGGGTGTTTAGGCGGATCACCCTTTCCTTTCTTCTAATGATCTGTTTTAGCTACTAGGGCTGGCCGGTCCATGGTTGGTGGTTCAAGCATGACACTCCTTCAGCTTTCTTCTACTCGGATCAGTGAGATTGTCTCTTCTAGAGACAGTGTGTTCCCCTTGCCAATGATTTGAATCCTAACCTGGTCAAATTCCAGATTCAATCCAGCCAAGAAATCGTATGTCCGATCTCTTTCAATGAAGTTCTTTAAAATGGCAGCATCATCCAGGGCACTTCATCTCTATTACTCAGTAGTGGTCCAATTCTTGCCACAGATTTTGCAACAGGTTTGCATATTCCGTGACAGACTTGTCTCCTTGCTTAGTGACTCCAGTTTTGATCTTAATCTCATACACTTGAGCATCATGACGAACCTTCGAGTATGTGCGCTGAATATAATCCCAAATTTGCTTTGCAGTAGTCAAGAACATACATGTGTCACTGATCGTTGGATCCATGGAGTCCCATAGCCAGGACATAATAATGGAGTCTTTCTCATCCCATGCTTCAAAGGCTGGATCCTTTGTTTCTGGCCCCATTCCAAGCAAGTGATTAAGTCTCCCCTTGCCTTTTACGTATGTGCGAACAATTTGAGACCATTTGAGGTAGTTTTTCCCATTAAGCCTGTTGGAGACTCGAATGTTCTACAATTCTCCGGTTTTCTGAACAGAATTGGACTCTTCGGATGGGTTCTGAGGTTGACATGATGAAGAAAATTTGCAGCAATTAAGGTTGTCCGAACAGGGATTAGCGAAGAAAGAATAAGGAGGAATGACAACAATGAAGGAGAAAACGACAATTCGTTTGAAAAGAAGGAGAAAACGACAAGTCGTTTCCCTTGTTTGATAAAAAAACGACAGGTTGTTTGAAAAGCTAATTTCACTTTTTCTCTTATAAACGGCACGTCATCTGCAGCAGTTTCTCACACCCAACGTCCAGAGAAGACAATGAACAGTAAAAAATGAACAGAGGGTAACGAATTCCAACGACCGTTGATCAAGGGCGTCGGCAATGAAGGCCACGGCAAAGATCGTAGATCAGAAGAATCTTGGCAATGAAGGCCGACCAGAAAATCTCCAACGATGGTGTTTGAAGATCAAAGCAAATTCCGGCAATGAAGGGGAAAAAAAAAAGAAAAAATTCCCAGACTTATGAGCCTAGGGCTCTGATACCATGTCACAGAAAAAGATTCTTATTTTCTATTATTATGAATTGGTATTACACGGTATTATATAGTAGATTACAGGAGAAATAATAGGAAACTAAATCATTCCCAAATCGGGAAACTGCCTAACCGAATCCCGCAATTTAAGGGATTTCAAACTGATTCTCATAATCGATTTACAGTTAATTTACACGTCAACAAGAACCAATCTTTTCTGGGTGACATGTGGAATGTACACCCAGAATCCATGATCCACTCTTCCTTTGGGTCATCACAGGAAACAGTAAGTACCTCTGTGTCTTCAAGACCTTCGGAGACATTGGCAGCTTCTTGGGTGTTAATGGTATCATCTTTCTGATTCACATTCTTCCTTTGTGGACAGTTTCTTCTGAGGTGTCTTTCCTTGCAAAACCACCAAGTTCTTCTGGCTTTGGACTTGGACCTGGAGTGATTCTTGCTCCTGTTGTAGTTCTTCTTTCTCTCTGTTGGTTTGCCCAAACTCCAACAGAATCAAATGAAAGAACACAATCGAAAGAACACAGGTGATTATACTTAGTTTGGATCTCCAATCCTACATCCAAGTCAGGGTTTCAACCCAAGCAAATCCACTATATAGAACAGTTACACCCTCAGAGATCAAAATCAGAAAATCTCGCAGCTCACAAGTACAAGATTTTCTCAGGATCCAAAACAGGTTCTCAATACACATAACAATCTCTTAGCTTTAGACTCTCTCTCCTCTGTAACTTTATCTCTCAAAAACGGACTTCGATAGTCTACAATTAACTAAGTCTGATAAATGTATCCACAACTGGATCCCAATGAGAATTAGACATGTCGCCTCAGTAAAAAGCCGCAATCTGGAACCAACTTGGCATAACTGATCTCTAACTGTCTTAATTAACTCTTCAATTAGAGCCAATCTTCACAACGACTGTGGAATATATACAGGTTCAGGAAGTTTATGATGAAGCTGGAGTTTCGGGTTTCTGGAAAGGTTTACTCCCAACGTTGATCATGGTAGGTGAGAAGCAACTCTTCCATTTGCTAAAGGAATACCACTGATTGTTCTTGCTCCTGATAACAGGTGAGTAATCCTTCCATACAGTTCATGCTGTATGAAACCATGTTGAAGAAGCTGAAGAAAAGACGCGCTTCGAGTAAGCAGGGTAGCAACGGGATTACTGCTTTGGAGGTTAGGTTCTTTTTTTTTTTTTTACTCTCTAAATTCCAGCACACCAGCCATTTTGTGGATTTTTAGAATAAATTTGCTATATACCTCGGATACTAATGCGTTGCTTTTGACCACTTAACCCTCCTTTGCATAAACTGATACATTGCCTTCTTTTCGTAGATATTTCTCCTCGGTGCCCTGGCGAAATTAGGAGCTACCATTGTAACGTATCCTCTTCTAGTTGTGAAGGTAAATTATGCGAGCCTGAATAAACGAGTGCTGGGGAAATTCATTATGGACCTAATTCTCGCAAGCACTTTCTTGCTTTAGCATGAACCTTTGCGACTCTGAACATGTGTGGATAGTGTTAAATTCTTGAGTTCCTCTCAGATTGGAGAAGTCAGCTACATTAGTTTCTGAAAGCATTATCTCCCGCTGTAAACTTAGACTTGCAAAACTTTTTGGTTTTCATCAGCCAGTCATTATTTTCCTCTTTGGTGCAGTCGAGGCTTCAAGCGAAACAGGTCACAACTGGTGATAAAAGGCATCATTATAAAGGTTTGAACTGTTACCGCAACGCATTCATCATATACATTATTGTTCTTTATCCGAAAATATCAACATGCTGTTTTGTGTCCTTATTACATCTTGGCCTCTTTTGATGGATCTATGCTGCCCATCCCTTTATCTGCTTTATAATATTAATTACATTACACCAATGATGCACAGCATCAAAAATTTCATCAACGATATCATGACAAGAGGGGGTCTCAAGATTCTGAGAGTTTCATAAAAGTAAAAATTACTATTTTGTCCCAATTTAATTTAGTTTCATAATGTGTCATTTAACTTATTTATTTATCTGTGATGAGTATCATTTTCTACAAAATTAACGCAGTTCTAATGCTCTACTAAATTACTAATGTGTCCTAGGAATTTCTGATCAGATTATAGTACTAATATTTAGGGAAGAAACCCTTCTTTTTTTGCTCGAAAGATCAATTGTCCCATGTTGTGGCTGGTAATGTCGATCATTTTACAATTCAGGCACATTGGACGCCATTTTAAAGATGATCCGATACGAAGGCTTCAACAGGTTTTACAAAGGGATGAGCACCAAAATTGTGCAAAGCGTACTTGCTGCCGCTGTTCTGTTCATGGTTAAGGAAGAACTTGTTAGGGGAGCTCGGTTCTTGCTTACCAGTAGCGCCACTAAGAAAGTGAAATCAAAATCATAGCCTCTGTCTCCCTTTTATTAATAATAATAGTAATAATAATAAATTTTTTTTTTGTTTAATTTTACTCGTAAGCTTAGCAAGCCATTTTATTATCAAATGTTTATTCATATGATTTATGCCAGTGTTGGCATACTCTTGCCCTGGAAATAAAAGGATGCAAGAGGGATGATTGAAAATGATGATTGTATACCATGTTATCTTTAGTAAGCTTATTCGGAGTTGAAAAATCTTCTTCAGTTTTATGTTCTGTCGTTTGCTTTGACTTGTTGAATTTATGTTTCCTTCCATCAACTTTTTAACAAAATTGCATGTTTAATTTTAGAACAATACTATTAGGCACATGTGGTGCTGAGTACCCCCACTGATAGAATGCGGGCCCTGTAACATAGAGCCTACATGTGAGACCCTCTTTCTATTAGTATGATACTTAGCATAAGTATTCCACAATCACATTGTGGCTTTACTCGTCAAAATGCAGGCACTGATTTTGTATCATAAGTTGAGAGAGGAAGAGAAATTCTCGAAGCATATCATATAGTTGGTGCATTATAAGAACTATATTACTTATCTTTGTTTAGAGTGATGATATGAAATGACGCGCTAATAATCAACTAGGTTCCTTTCAATGGTTATAATTTGATCTTTCGAATATGGAAATTCCTGTCTACTAATTCATTGGTCCACATAGATTATAATTTTCCAGCACCGTCACACACACACACACACACGAGGGCACACATATTTGCTTGGAAGTTGGAACTAACAATGTCATATTCGAAGAACCTGTATAGGTCCTTGAAAATTTTGAGCAACCTTTCAATGGATTGATTACTCATTCTACTGGGTCAGGGATGTCTCTTATAAACTCAATATTTTAATTGAATATGGAATGAAATTTCAAGAATCGTCTATTGTATTATTATTATTATTATTTTGGTTATTACTTAAAAAGAAAGGGTAAACTATAAATAGAATTAACAACCAAAACCGCAAATGATAATCAAATAAATAAAGCCAAACCCAAGGCTAAAGGTCATAAAGTTTGGTATTTGTTAATGAAAAACGTCAAGCATTCCAATTATTTAAAAATATATCTCAATCGTCACTAATAAAGAGCAACATTCGTAATATTCATTAATTTTATGTATGTTAAAAATTAACGAAACACATTTATATGTATAAATTTTTAATGGTTACATTTATTGTGTTTACCTATTAAATATAGAAATCGGAGGATGTAACGTAATAAGAATTTAATTATATTAATTGTTATAAATTTTTTTAATCAACTATCTAATTTATTATATTATTTAATTAACATCTTACATTAAACATAACAATACTCATTGGTAAATAAATACCGAAATGACTATTAAAATCACACCCTTATTTTTTTTTTTTAAGTAACCAAACAAATTTATTTATTCATTCATTTATATTTTTTCACTGAGTGGGTGACCTAAGCTATATATTCTATCATGAACACATTTAGTGGGATTGAGGTGACTCTCTTAAGACCGGTGTATAATGCCTTTTTAATAACGGAAAGATGAGATATGATTAGTGCTGAAACTTTGGACGGACGCCCGTGACCACCGAAAAGTCTGAAATTTTGCCCGATGACCAAACATGATATGCCCGAATTTTCGGGCTACCCGACCCGACCCGAAAATTACCATGAACGGGCTTCGGGCAGAGGATGTCTGCCCGTGCCCGGTCGGGCTGCCCGATGCCCGACTGGTTGCCTGATTTTTTTTATATTATATTTTTATGTTGTTGAAATAAGTATTTGTATAATTACAATGTGTATATTACAATTTGAAATATGAAATGAACACTGAACACACGAACGGACTATATAAAAAAAATTACTTCTTCATTGATTTTTAAATTTGTAATTCATGATTGCCTCATTAAAAAATCTTACCAAGAAAAACCCAATTGGGATAAAAACTTGGTAAGGAAAAAAGAGTGCAATCATTGTGGGACGAATTACAAATTTGATAAACTTACAAAGTCTATACAAGATTACAATAAACACTATACAAATTAGAAATTACAAAGTAAATAAATATTTACAAAGAAATTACCAAGATGAAGCAGAATGATCATCTTGAAAATTAAAAGTTAATCTATTAAATTCGTCGATCCATTCTTGGTTTGCCGGTGAGATTATATCGTGTAAGCGTTGGTCAGAACGGTCTCAATCCTTGATGCACACCAAAGCTTCAACAATATCCTGCTGCAATGCGTTTCTCTGTTCTTCAAGTATTCGGCCGGTTGTACTGAATGCTTGTTCGGCTGCAACAGTGGAGACCGAGATTGAAAAAATATCCATTGCTAGTCGTGTTAGGATCGGCCAAGTTAATGCTCGTGCCCTCCACCACTCAACCAAATCAAACACCTCACTACTGTCTACAACTAAGCCCTCACTCAGGTACGCCATTAACTCGTTGAATCCGCCGCCACCTCTTGATGAAGATCCACTTCCACTCTCAGATTCTTCTTGACCTTGACTCGTCGTCGTCGTCTTCTTCTTCTTCTTCTTAGACAACCCGAAAACATTCAAGAATGAATGCAGATTGTCGTCTCGTTGTTGCGGTTGTTCAACACGAGGTGTGTTTCTAAACCTACTTTCGTAAGAGATATAGAGAGAAAATATTTTTTCCTTTATAATAGGAAATTGGT